AAAAGAAAATCCCTTTTGAACAAATTTATAAATATAGCTGAGTTACTACACCAGACTGTATTAAGACAAACTGTTATAACTGATAATAATAATATGCATAATTGCATATTCACACAAATTGTCATTTTTTGTACATTATAATGAAATAGACCATTCATTCATTCATAATTAAGAATAGGAGTAAATATTTATACATATTATGTTCTGCAGTTTTGCACCTGGCATTTCCTGTGTGGTCTGACTCGACATGTTTACTGTATGGGCTATCTGGGAACATGCCTAGGGGCCCCTGAGCGTGAAATGGGATGGTAGAAAATAATGCACCCGAATGGACATTTCACTCCACCTCTGTGGGTCGCTGGGCCATACTGACTTCATGTTGAGCAGTGCAAGCTTTCCAGGTGATTTATGATTGTGTCTTGTAATATTTGTGAGACTTTTCTTTAAAGATTAACTATAATTATTACAGAGTCTGCTGTCAGTCATTTTTAACATTTTCATGTGCGCAGGCTGTCACAGCAAATATCTTGGGACATTTAAGCAGCAAAAGTAAAAACTGTAGTGACACGCCAGACTGAGGAAACTCTCCCGAGGAAACACAATTAAACTTCTAGCTCCTTTTAGCTCTGAAGGAGCTCAGGATTTATTAGGTCTTTACTCCAGACAGTTTGTCTGTATGAATCTGGACTGTGTGTGAGACCTTTTGGAGATTTAAATAATCAGTAAAGTTACTGCTGCTGTGCTTCGTGCGTAAATGCGCACAGCATCTTTCTTAATGGGGAGACGGTTCACCCAATTTCACCCACCCACAACCCATACACTATTATCACAATGTTCATTTTTATGACTCGGCCCGCCCGATCTGCGGATAATTCACATTCATAACTGTGTTCAGTGCATCACTAATGCAATTTTGCGATTTTCCAGGACCTCGCAGATATCTGCAGCAAAAGTTGAGCCTTGTTCTCCTTTTTTGTTGGTCAACTGTGTTTTTTCTGCCGCAACCCCCCGTGTTGTCGTCCCCTCTGTGTCACCAGTCTACCCTGTTTCAAATGAATGAGAGCACACAGCATGACCCCTGAGATGTTTTCCTCTCTGATGGTAATTTCAAAGAGAGGTTTAACATTGCCAAATATGAACTGCTCCTAAATATAATATAACTCAGAGGTTGTCAGGAGGGCAATAGCACACAAAACATCAAAATTACATTTGGATTTTTCAGACTTTCAGAAAAATGTGACATAGTGAAAGCGGGCACAGCATGATATTAGTCCGTTTTTTAAACATTATTTCAAACTGTGGGTAAGGTTTCTGAAAATATCACTCTTTCACACTGCGTGGGAATTTTTGTCATTTTGAAAATAGCAAATGTACAAAAATGCGGATCTGCACCAGAAACTGACCTCTTGCTCCTTGGCCACATCCGAACTAAAAGGAAGTTAAAAACATACCTGCCCACGTTACACACCTGGCACAGTGGGTGTCCATCAGCGGAATAAAGGAACCGTCATGTCTCATTTCTCAAGTCTGGAGCAGCTTTGCTCTGTGTTGGTTTTATTTATTCATTATAAAGGTTTTATTTATTCACACTGTGCTCTGCAGTCAACAGATCAGAATCCTAAAACAGTATGCCCCTGCCTAATTCAGCTCCCCCTGTCCTTCTCTATCAATACTCTGTTTTAGCTGATATACTACTCACACACAATTTCTGCGTTAATCCTTTATGTACATGTTTAGACCTAAAGATACCAACCTGTAAATTGTATCTGAAGGTTGATTTTCCATATGCTCACAGATGATATACGAGCAAAAGCTGTGAAACTATTTCCAAACACAATTTCACAAGCTCAAACTCCTAAACAGCCCTTAACGAAAACCATATTGCATACTTCGTCTCCGACACACAGGTTGAGAAAAAGCAAAGAAAAAAAAACAGGAACAAAATACAAAACACACTTGGCGTAGGAGTGGGCACACAGTCATGCACAGACTTGACCATGCATACTCATATTTTTACCGGTGTCTACAATCTGGCAAATTGATGAACTAAACAAAACAGAACAGCAAAAAACATATGTCGCAGTAAAGACAGCTCTTCAATTCTGATTCTTATAAACCCCTTGTTTATGTGTAGCTGCATAAGGATGCAGTGTCACATTTAGAGGATTCGGCTTGTGGCAGGCAGTTAAAGGCTCGTGTTTTTGGAAGTTTAGCTTCTTGATAAACACTAACCGGACATTCCCTCCCAAAGAGTATCTTCTTGGAGCTGTGTTTGGAATGATGTATTACAGATATGTAATCACTATACTGTATTAGCATCCTCACCCCAAACACACCTGTTTGGGGTCTTCTTAATAAAGCTTCAGTGTTGTTATTTGGTTTGTCAGTTTAAACATGGGGAAAGTGTTAACACATTTCTCTATAATAAACAAAACAAAATACGGCCACTCTCTCCTTTTCCCCGAGCTACACAAGTTCTCATTTCTTTCTGAGTCACCTCCCTTTTTTTAGTTTATCCTTTATTAGCAGACAGAAATGTCTCCTGTAGATGGGAGCCAGAGTAAGAAACTCCGTTACTGACTGAAGCTGTCCCAAGTCTTAGTCTAAATAGGAAGAGTACACTAGTACACTAGTAGGAGAATGATCTATCTCAACATCCATTAGTGCTAACATAAGCATCCAGTGTGCAACTGGATGAGGGTGTCTGGCTTTCTGAGTTAATGTAATACTTTGCCCTTTGTTAAGCCCACTGATGGAATCAAAAGGCTTCGGTCACAAAAAAGAGTCACATTTTCTCTGCTCTCTGCATTGTACGTAAAGCATATCCAAATAATTTGTTGTCAGATTGTTTTTTTTTGTTGTTTTTTTACAGCAGCCAGCAGTAACCCTCTTATCACTCACAGCTGTTGCTGTTTAGTGATTTCCACAGAGAAAACAACAAATAAAAACAAATCTGTATTATGGAGTCTCCATCACTGACATTACCGTCACTGACTAATCCTCAAGTTGCACTCCTTTAGTATAAGATTAACGCTGTGTTAAATCTGTGGTAATACTATTTGTCATGGCACTTCATTTTACGATGCAGATCAGCTCTGCTGGCCAGCATGAGAGACAGAAATAGTAAGAGGAAAAGGAATAACATGGAAATCAAATTTTACACACTTCTGGCTACCTTATTGTTGTTTCCATGTCTTACTCCTGCCTGCTACATATTCTGGGCAGTACATGCATAATACATACAAGCATGTTCCTTCTGTCCAAAAGTGCACGCACACAAACTTGCCCTGAGAGACAGTCTTGGGTAATAGTGGGCGAATAGTTAAAAAGACAGTGGCACAGTACTGAATGTCTTGTTCACAGCACAAAGGCCACGTTAAGATAGAGCTGAAACTGCTGTACATGACATTTCTTCAAAAACCAACATTAGTTTAAGCAGTACGATATGTCTGCCATGGCTGATTCACTCTGTGCTCTGTTTAATAATGTTGGTAAGATGGTAAAAGAGAAATAATTACATAGTGGAGTACATTCAGCACACACACTTTCTCATAGAAGCTGCACACTGTCAGGTTTAATTTGAAGCCAACCTTAGCTACATAAGGTGAACTAGTAACCGGGTACATCTCTTTGTATACACTGCCCCTGTTTCAACTCTGCTGTGACTTCTTTCAGTCGGTGACTCATAAACATCCACCGAAACCTCAGCGCTCATTAGACCAGCAGCGGGACCAGAGTTCTTTTTTTTCTCTTCCACGACTGATTTGTAAAACTTCAAGGAAAAAAGCAGAGGGAGGAAGTACACACCCAGACAGAGTGAACTTGCCACCTGAAGCAACCACAGTGCTTCCGCAGCGTTGGTGCCATGCCAAGCAGCCCTGAGCTGTTTACATCATCAAAACTTCCTCAAAAAAAGACAGTGTTGGGGTGCATCATCAAAAGCTGTTAGAAACAAACATATTAAATCTGAGCTGTGCAGATCAGAGAGGACTGGCAAAGCAGACATTATTCACTAGAGACAATGTTTGGATATTAAAGCTGCACTAATTGTCAGGCAATCAAAGTTAGTGACTAGCTGGTGAACATAGTGGAGGATTTAGCTTCCAGAGATATTTCTCTCAGGAATTGGTGGAGACTAAATCAGAGGTAAAAGAACAGCAAATATATTGGTCTTAAATTTTAAATCTAAAGTCTAAATCTTGCCCCTAGGGGCTAAAAATATATCAGTGCAACTTTAAAAGATCAATAAGTAAGAACTGATTATAGGCACGTTATCAGCAGCTGGTTTGTTTTTTTCTCCTATTTTGGATTTCTTTGAATAAGCAGAGACACAAATCTACACAAAGATTTCACAGAAATCTGTGCATTTTTCTGATAAAATCGGTAAACCAGTGATCCATAAATACAAATAGCTATGTACTAGAAAACAGTTAGGAGGCAGCCTGGCCATGTCAGAAAACTTTCATTGTGTGCATACGCTATGTGTGTGGTGAATTGGCACCTGAACCTTATATACTCACTATGTCTATGTCACTATGTATCTGACCTTAATTAGTACAGTTGCAGTGTCCTCTGTGTGCTCAGTCATAATGATGGAGTCCTCCCTCTGGAGGGTCTCTAACGGTGAAGGACAAGTGTTTTGTGTCTGAGCCACCTGGACAATCTAGTGCAAGAGTTAGCTCCTAGTTACACATCTTGTTTTATCAAATTGCTATTACCGTAGTCAAGCTTAAGTCCTTTGTTGTTGTTGTTTTATTTTTGAATTGTTTAGACAACTCTGTAGTTTATTTGGTTTTCTTTAACTAAGAATACAGTGTGCTGCACTGTAGGTTTCGACTCAAGCAAAACAGACAAAGATGGATCTATAGCCCCAGACAAAAAAAAATCAACAATCAATTTACAATGACTGTTATTGACCGTGCATTAACCCCCCCAAAGTCTCTTATTGGTCTATCACGGTGTAACTTTTTATCCTTTTCTTTTGTGTCACCAACATACAGACTCTATGGCGAGCTGACAAACTGCACGTTCGTGGTGGCGCTGCAGATGGAGTGCTACTGGCCCAACAGGCTGGTGGATGAGTTCTTCATCCGAGTCCACAAGCACTACTTCCACGACTGCTCGCTATCTGGACGGCTTCTCAAGGACCCACCCAACCACATCCTGGGTCCCTTTATTGTAGTGCCCATCCTGGTCACCCTCCTCATGACGGCCCTGGTGGTGTGGAGGAGCAAACGCAGTGAGGGGATTGTGTAGTGAGGGGAAGGAGGGGTTCAGCAGGACGCCAGGGTCACAAGACTGAAGATTCACACCTGGAAGCTTAACAAGATCAACTCAGAAGCTATTTGAGTGATGACTGAATACACTGACACCAATATAAAGCCTTTGCAGCTCAGATCTATAGTTACACCAAACATGGAACGTGGAACTTCTCACCTGAATCCTGGATTGAACCTGAACCAGCATTGTTACTGGTGGAAAGTGTAAATATTAAAAAAAAAACTTTATTGAGAGCTGCTTCAAAGAATTTTGGATGTAGTGAAAATGCTACTACACATACAAGAACAACTACTTTTGTTCCACGGAAACAACTATTACCTACAGCCAAACAGGAATGAAACACAGTGCTGGACTTTCCCAGAAGACCTGTTTTACACGCTGGCTAGGATACAGAAGGGCAGTTCTGTTAGGGAACCAAGGTCAGATTTTATGTACATACCTAAATTGTAAATATACACAGTATGTACAATATGAGATTAATCTGTCAGTGGATTGTCAGAATATCTTTGTCACACAATCAAGTGAACAAACCATAGTACACTAAATTAATTTCTCAGAAATTTTGTTTCCATGTGATACAAACTGATTTAAAACTGATTTTAACAGATGTGTATTATATTTGAAATATACTCTGAATCATGCAGATGGCTTATGTTCACGCTATCAAGTTATGGTTGGAGTAAAACATGTCTGTTTTTAGTTTTTATTTCTTTTCCTCTGCTCATATCCGACACCCTGGCATCATGTCCTCAATCTCTTGGCATACCCACGGCTCAGTCTCTCTTCTGAATGGGAAAACGAAGATATGTTTCTATAGCATAACGCACACTGAACCCGCTCGAAAAATGCAGGCGGCAAAGATGTCACAGACTAAAGATTGGCAGATGTGCAGTACAGGTGAGAGACAGCACAACACAGAGCGGACGATCACCACGCAGGGGTCGAGGCCCCAATTTGTACGGGCTGTGATGATAAAATGTTCTGCAGCTTCCGTCGTCCATCACCAAGGACACTAAAATGAAGAAATGCCAGCGGACACAGATGGAAATGGTTGAGAGTGAAGCCTTTGAAGGTCAACATACACAGGCAGAAGTTTAGGGACTGCAGACAGTTAATTAACCAAAAATTCTCAGTTCTTTTCAGATTTTTCTTGCTCAAACACCTCTGTTATCCATGTTTTGTTTTACCATATAGAAAAACTCAATCCCAGCAATGATTGATTATATCCAATTGAATGAAAGAATGAAAAATAGAACAAAGCGTGAAAAATTCACAGTGGAAGTCCAACTACAGAGAAAACATAAGGCAATGGATTAGCCAACGCACATCTCTTCTGAACATTGCCTCAGCCTAAAGCAAAGTTTGTGTATCATGGACCTTAGGTTTCTATTGATTTATGATCTTCCAGTATGCTAGAGTGTGCTGTGTGAACTGTTTTCTCATTGATATTTTTGAATGCTCTCTTTGCTTTATAGATTCATTGACCTGTAACCTGCCTGTCAGAAAAAAAAACACACCCACACTTCCCCATCATGATCTTACTTTGTGCTTTGTGCCAAAAGCTCTTGGAAAACAAAGGGCAATGTTTGCTATGAAATGTCTAATTTTCTTGGCGTGACTTAAATGTTTGAATTCTAAAATCTATGATTTGAGGAAAAGTTAAATAAAATGTCTGATTAATGTGTCTGATACACTGAGGATTGGCACCTGTGTTTCTCATGAGTTAGAGATGGTACAAAAGGCTTTTGTATATTATGTGTAAATATGAATAATGAATCATTCATCTGCATTAATGTATGCATGGCGCACAACACTGAGTCATAATGAATGCACTGGGCTCAAGCCCCCGTGTCATTTACTGAAGTGTGAAAAATATGAGAAAGGATAAAACTATATTTAGTAAAGTGTAAACAAAACGAAGGCCTGGTGTTTATATATCACAAAGCTTTGTGTCCTGAGGATTTTTCGGTATATGTCAGAATAAAGTCTTATCACTTTTCCCTTTTCACATAGATGCATTGGACAATAGCAGTGTTGTCTGGACAGAGAAACAGTAAATGAAGGTCCAGTAGTCCGTCCGTAGCATTGTATCTTGCAGATAACGCTGCCTTTATATTGATGCTCTCAGAGCACAGGTCAGGGTAAATCACAAACCAAAGGAATTATACTCACAAGTTAATTAGAGCACACAGCTTAATAAATGAAATGATTAATTTGTCCTCTGAGTCAATCAATCAATCAAGTTTATTTGTACCAGGTAATCATATAAGTTACAATCAAGTCCTGACCAGCTGTTCAGTGCCACAGGGCAGTAGTCATTCAGGCTAGCTGGTCTTGTTTCTTGGGCACAGAAATGACGGTGGTCTTCTTGAAGCATGTGGGGTATGGCAGACTGAGCCAGGGACAGGTTGAATAGTCCTTAGGTCAGTCGAGGCAAGTCCAAGTCAAGTGACAAGTCATTAGAGAGAACTCTCAAGTCTAAAGTCTCAAATCTAAGTCAAGTCTTAAGTCTTTCAGACCAAGTTTCAGATCAATCACAAGTGCATTAGGGTGCAAATCTGAATTCTGGGTGTTCATATGACCTGCCATCTGAACATTTCACTTTTCTGTGACTTTCCTGTCATTTTTACATTGCTCACAATAAGTCCCGTTAGTAATGTTAACGACGTCCGAGTGTGTTAAGTTTTCTAATCATCTATCAAGTTGAGATTTAAAGCTATCGGCTACACCTCTCTGTCTGTGAAACCTCTGGCTGATTTGTGTGCCAGCGTGCTTTTATACCCCTCCGGTTACGCCGTCACACGCTACCGTTCTAGCAACACCAATAGGATTGGAGTAGTTTCATTCACAGTTCAGCCCTGCCACGGCCAGAGGCGTTCCCATAGTGTCGTCACCGACGCAGTTCGAGTTCCCTCGAAGGGGAACTTTGCTAACACAGGCAAATACAAGAAAGCGCAGCAACACAAGACAACAGTAGTGTTTCAATCAGCTTTTTTTATGCACATTTTGTACCAGGCTATCACATTAGAAAAGGTTGAGGGAAACAGTAAAATTTGTAAAAACACGGCTCAATCATTTAATTTTTTTTACAACCGTCTGAGGTGTTTTTTTGTCTTCTTTGAGAAAGAGTTAATGTGCTAAATGAAAGATGGAAACACCTTTGCCAAATAAATTCTGATGTAGCGAACATTTACCTCACATGCCTAATCAGCTTTTTTTGCTGTTGACGTCTTCTTGGACATTACAATGCGCGGAAGCATGGCTGGTACAAAACCACCCGCTTCTGAAGACTTCTCTCAATTTTTCTCATATCCATGGTCATCAGGGCCATGCAACTAGTTTTGTTTCTGATTTGCAACCTCTACTTCTTGTTTATTATAGCCATGTGCAACATCAACTTCTGACGTAACTACGCTTTGCCTAGCCTGGTTTATTCGCTCCAAACCAGTTGATGGAAACACGCTTTATTCGTACATTTCAAAAGTTAATTTAAAGGGGCTATATGTAGTTTTTCAATGAAATCAATTATAATAAATCAAATATTTCCTGCCTTATTGTCAATGGGCTGTAGCCTCGCTTACAGAAATAAACCACGTACCTGTTTTCTCTGTTGCTTGGAACAGTCAATGCTACTTCACTAGTGATGCAACGGATCACAAAACCCACGGAGTTACATTTATTTATAAGGTTCTTTTGGAAATGATCAAATCTGAAGAATAACAAATTACAAATCAATTTTACATTCACTTCACAGCTTTGGGTGCACAGACAGACTTTTGCTGAAATTTCTTGACTGTCACATCTTTTCATTAGCACAAATGACAAGTGTTAATAACAAGTAGAGATCTAATGCAAAAAAAATAATGTTACAAAAAAATCTACAATAATACAAATACTTACAACAATGCATTCAACAGGGTTTGCTGTCAGCCATAACCTTTTCTCTCTACTCGCTAACTTAACTTATTAAAGACTTGACCCCCCCCTGGTGAATTATTTATGGAGGAGAAAGGCAACCTGAGGAGATTCAGATGCTGAAGCCACATGTGACTGCGAGGGCAGTGGATATGTTGCCAGTTGCTATGATTCACCAAACTGTTAATTATTATATAATAACCAAGGAGAATGAGTGGGTTGAGGTCAGAAAGATCAGATGCAGAAAGTCCAAACTATTTGCCCCAAAATATATTACTTGTTTTGCTGTCCAGATACATTAAATCTTAATATGAAATGTGTCTAAAATTAACTTTTTTCAGTTGACATTAAAGTTCTTGTCAGTATTGATTTGCATCCAAAGAATGTTCGAGAGAGACCTTACATTGTAATATTAGCTGTCAAAGTTTTTTAAAGTTTGCACGATCTACAGAGTTGACCCATTTTACAGATGCACACAACTTATCTACCCTGTCTAACTAGGTCAGTCACACTGACAATATTTGTAGTTATCAGCTTTGTGTCATTGTTCTCTGTATTTCTGTCGCTATTGCTCTGCTATTGACAGTCAGCTTCTTAAGCTGAAAACTAGAGTAACAGTTACGTCTTAATGACACCCTTTACTCTCCAGTGTACAAAGAACTGTGTATAACCATTATCAGAGGTACGTTAACAGAGGTAATGTTCTAAACTGCTACCAAGCATTAGTTAGCCAACCATCACATGCAACAGACATAATTCTTGATAATAATACCCTGAGCTCCTCTCTTCTCCTCTCGCTGTCTATCTATATGCAACCATATCCAATAATGCATGTTACTAACTTGATTTCTTCCCTCTCTCATATTCTTTCCTATCTCCTTCTGTTGCTTTCTGCAGGTGTTTCTGGCTCTGGAGCTGTGAAGTCTGGATCTATGGCTGCGAGTCACCTACTGTCCCCATGTTCCTGCTCAACACTGGTTGCAAGAATTATTATTAGTAGTCCTATTATTATTATCATTAATATGACTATAATTATCTGTACCATTATTCATTCTCTGTACCACTGCTACTTTTACTGTTTTTATTTCTGTGTGGATATTATGATGACTGGCATGCATGTTTCTGTTGCAGGGTGGTGCAGATGTCAGATGAAGCAAGACAAGGACATAATTATCAATATGCACTGAAATCAATGTATTATTGTAATGTCAACATTGGATGTACTTAACGAAATTTTGAATAGTAATATTTAGATTTTAATCAGTATGCACAAGGGAATTAGTATGTCACACATTATTATTATTATTTTGGATTATTTTACATAGAAATACTTGCTGTCTTATGTAAAACATAAGTACAGGCTAGTTTTCCTTCCAACACTTCAGCAGCAAAAAAAACAGAAACTGCCTTAGAGCATGACCTGGTGCATGCGTTTACTGCAGCTTAGAAGATTAGATGGCACTACCTGATAGCAGCGAGGACACCCACATGCACACACACACGACATGTTCTTGCTGTTCTCTTCTGAGTAGAGCACTTTAACTGCAGACAGATGCTTGAGCTCAGGCAAGTACCAAATACCCCACTGACAACACACACCGAAGGCTTTATTCTGTGGAAATTTCCATCAGGAATAATTGTGCCTTGTCTGTTAAGTCTCCGTCCGGTCATGTGTAGCTTTGTGCTTGTCTCGTCTCTGCCCTGTCTGTCTTGGATCTGTCCCCCGTTTAGATTACCTGTTTCATTTGTATTGTTTATTCTTTGGATGTATCTCAGCCACTCTGCCAGTACGTGTGCTCGCCTTTTGTTTGCCACAATAAACCTTTTTGAACTGTACCTGCTCCGCTCTGTGTCCTGCATTTGGGTCCACCATCCTGCTCAACCTTCCCTACACCCCAAACCCTGACAGAGTTGCAGTAGTCAAGTCTGGAAGTGATGAGGGCATGGATAATCATTTTTACAGCAGTAAAGGACAAGGAGGGCCACTGGGGGGTAATGTTTTTGAGGTAGAAGAAGACAGTTTTTGTGACCTGGTTGACATGGGGTAAGAAGGGGAGGTGAAAGATGGTGGAGGGGGTGACAATGGAGCCGTCGATGTTGAGTGAAAAAGTCTGGGTGGAAAGGAAAATGAGGATGGTGAAGTCAGCAGAAAAAAGTATGTCATTGGTGATTTTAAGTCGGGCAGTTTCTATGCTGTGCGTGAAGCCTGATTGGAAAGATTATTAGAATCAAGGTGGGATTTGAGTTGAGCAACAGTGGACAAGGAGGAGTTGCATACATTGGTTATGAGTGGGGAGAGTGTGGGCAGGCAGGCCTTGAGGACTTCATGCTGGTGATTATGTTATGGACATGATAGGTCGGTTTCAGAGATTTCAGTAAAGGATGTGAGTGAGTAGCTTGGAAGTAGTGGGGGGTTAGGTTGAGGGTCAGAAAGGTGGCAAGAAGAGGACGCAGCGAGGTGATTGTGTATTGTGTCAATTTATGTTTGGAAAACATGTAGAAATGAGTTAGAATATCACAGAAAATTTCAATGAATTGCAGATTCAATTCAAATTCAATTTATTGTCATGAAAGTGTAACAACAATATTGCCAAAGCATCATACAAACTACATAAGAACAATCAACCCCATACATTTCATTACTCATACTAGTTACAATGGGTAAGTAAGCTGTGTAGTTAAATGTTAAATGTATTTTATTTTCACTTTTAATTGTGTTTATTGTTGATATACTATGAGGAGTCTGCACAGTGCGTTTTAATTTAATTTTTTTAAAACATCACTGTACTTAATAGGGAACACAATTTAATTTGAAAGTTTCCTGCAGCCACGGTTCATCCTGTCACCAGCTGTGAGGTCAGAATGGAAGAGAATGAAGAAAGTGGCGGTGAGAAAAGACCCATGTGAGTGCCTGACGTACAAAAAGACTCCCACTCGCCTCCTCCGGATGTCCCCACAGGTTAATAACAGATGCCATAATGTCATCCACAGATGTCTGCTGTTAA